CCATGGGATTGCATGCAAATAAACAGGGAAATATACTTTGATAGGCGTAAAATTAGAGATTTTAAGGTGACAGATTAAAATCTCTGGTTTGGTTCAATGCTTGGAAACTAAAGCGAGATTGTTAGCCTCAAGGGAGAGAGAAGTGAGAGTTCTGGAGTGGCAGCCAGTATCCTCTAAACCTAATCAAGGATTTAGGGACTGTATTAGTCAATGTTATTTATGTACTCTCTGAAGATAAAGAATAAGATTGCTCATGACACAATACAAATTTATATGTATTTTAAATGATTTTAACTACTTTACAATCCATAAACTCATTGTAAAGAGGAATAATGCTTTCTTAAATTTAAACTCTTCACTACAAAACTTTGTTTAGTCTTTATAAGTTTAGTTTTGAAGTTAAGCAAATAGTTAAGTTAACTTAGTTCTTTTAACTACATTTCATTTAGTACACATTAAATTTTCCTTAGATTTATTTTGCTTACTTAAATTTTATAGTTTGAATATTGTGTTTGACGTTATAACTATAAGAATTTCCAATTCCCTGTGGGACCAATACTTAGGACTCCATTAGAGTCATTTATTACTTTAGCGATACGTATACTTGCGTTATTATTACAGTTTGACAGCTTAAAGATTTTAAAAGATAAAATTATTTATACTAAATTTATTTTTATTTGGATTTAACTACATATTTATTACTCGTGTTGTCGTGTGTGTATTGTAGTATTGAAAGATATTTACAACGCACCACAAAACTGCCGCATCAAGGAGCCTTCAAGTACGGTTCGAGTAGCACCTGGATTCCCTTGACGACTGCATTAACCCCCAAAACACCTTAGGAGTTTTCCCCATTTGAGAGAAAACATCCCTATCAATCCACCCATATAAGAGTACCCTACTGTGTTGAATCGTAATTTCATGTCAAATGTATTCTGTTGAGTTCTGGAAAAACAACCCAAGATTGTCCAACCCAATCAGGGGTGAAGAAAATAAGAATTTCTTTAAGTGGTAGCAGCCATGGTAGAAAGCTAGCAAATAAGATGTCCTAAAACTCTCTTCATATTGATTGTCTCGTGTCCACTCTTCTCTCTTATGGTCCTCAGTCATCCCCCTGATCCTCCCAATACTTCTCTATCGACAAGGGAAACTCTAATCTCGGACTTCGTAAAAAAGAAAAAGGGTTATGTGCTTGACATATTTGGTGAATGAGCCCATCATGTTGAGTCTTGTTATCATACTGCCAGGATCTTCCTAGCAAAAGATGACAGACATCCACCCACATCACACCAAACTTGATCCAGTAGCTGGCTCCCAATCGAAAACTCCACGAGACAGGTTTCGCCCATGCTGACCTTATTATCCTTCTTCAACCAAATCAGGGAATATGGGAAGGAATGTCTCTGAATCGTGATGTTCAATTGTCCAACATCAGTGTGGATCTCATATCCCTGCTGTTATATCCATCGATGATGATGATGCATATGTTTCCCTTCACGGTGCAATGAGTGTAGAATATATTGTGATGAAGCCATTGTAGCTCATTCGACGCCTCAGTTTGAAGGACTCGCTAAACTACAAGCATCTCACACTCACTGATACTCCTCACCCTTTTCTTCAGCTACTTCCTTGTCGCTAACGTCCTCTACTGCATCTTACTCAGTAAAGGACGCAACCCGGCTCGTCGGGCAACTGGAGTCGATGTTATCATACTGCCAGGATCTTCCTAGCAAAAGATGACAGACATCCACCCACATCACACCAAACTTGATCTAGTAGCTGGCTCCCAATCGAAAACTCCACGAGACAGGTTTCGCCCATGCTGACCTTATTATCCTTCTTCAACCAAATCAGGGAATATGGGAAGGAATGTCTCTGAATCGTGATGTTCAATTGTCCAACATCAGTGTGGATCTCATATCCCTGCTGTTATATCCATCGATGATGATGATGCATATGTTTCCCTTCACGGTGCAATGAGTGTAGAATATATTGTGATGAAGCCATTGTAGCTCCTTCGACGCCTCAGTTTGAAGGACTCGCTAAACTACAAGCATCTCACACTCACTGATACTCCTCACCCTTTTCTTCAGCTACTTCCTTGTCGCTAACGTCCTCTACTGCATCTTACTCAGTAAAGGACGCAACCCGGCTCGTCGGGCAACTGGAGTCGATGTACCCAAATTCATAGCATCTGAAATATTTTCTGGCTACAACAGTAGTGGACATGCTACTCTTCTCAAGCTTCTTATCACCATGAGTGACTCTGTCCTTATCCTGATCAGTCTTCTCAACTCCTTGAGGTGTGCTCTCGCTGTTTGAATGGTGGTGGTTACCAGATCTATTTTGTTGTCTCTCCACCTTTAATGTTAAGGTCCGGATATCTACCTACGAACATCAAGACTGCAATTGAACAATGTTGCTGATAGCTGGCAGACCTCGTAGATATTGAGCTATAGTATGTTCCTCTCGCTCGACCAATTCACATTTCATTTGAAACTGATTAAATTGTGTTGTCAACTCCTCCACCGATAGGTCTCTCTGTTGCAGTGATGAAGCCTCGGAAACATATCCTGACGATAGTAAAATAAGTATTTCCTCTACATCTCTTTTCCATCTTCTCCCATCTGGTAATCTTTTTACTTTCTTCTCTCCTTTGTCTCTGCAAGTTTTTCCATCACAAGGGGACGCTCTTTTTCCAATTTGATGGACGCAAGCACCCTATTATCTTCTGTCACTTCTTTGTACCTAAAGATAGTATTGTGGTTGGACAACAAGCAAGGGGTTTGCAGAAAGGCTTGGCTGCCAACAGCAGGGCAATGGGAGGGGAGCGGCACCAAAAAGATGGTGGATGGAGCATGCGGCAACAAGCACGAAAAGGTAGTTTGGCGGCTGGACGGCAAACAAGGGTTGCAAAAATGTACGACAACGAACAGGGGAGCACGGGAGAGGGAGGAAAACAAAGAGATAATCATCACCATGGAGCAGGAAACAGCCGGAGCACATGTCCTTGGATACAACCCTAACAAGAGACAATGGCATCGATGACAGAAATCTAAAGTGAAAAACAGACCTAAAATACAGAAAATAACATATGAATACTACTATGCTAGCTAAGTGTGGGACCCTCTCAGTTAGACGACAAATATCATGAAGAACTGCTCGTGCTGTTCTCTCCTCCCTCGAGATGAACTGGTCACACGAAATTGTACCTGACAGCTAGGGTTGCCATAGCCTATGTTCTGTGTGGGAGACACACTCGAGCCGTAAGGGAGACGCACCCACGTCAATGACAGTAAGCAATGTTTAGTACAAGCCCTCTCTCACAAATATCGAGGCCTCCCCTTTCTTCTTTTCAATTTTCAAAATTACCCAATAGGCTTCATTTTTGCTAAGTATAACAAACCAAAATAGTTAAGATGAGTGACAGCCACAACTATCATTCTACGATTGCCATAGCAGCTATTCCTCTGTTTGGAATATAAATTTAGCCATCATTATCTTTGTATTCGATAATGAGAGGTCAAAAGCTTGATAATTTGGAACATTCAGCTCATGAATCGATGAAGAGCCAAAGGGAGTTGACCAAGGATAGTTCAGATTAAGCCTAAGAGCTTTGAGAAAAAACTGAACTAATATTAGATGAAAAGATTGCCCATTATTAGTTGGCAAAGAGCTTCCTAATGCAACTACAAGTGGTGCTTTTAACTGACTGAAAGATGAAATTAGCACAGTTAAATATTGATTTATAATGAGGAGTCTAGCCATACAAGCTTTATTATCCATTTATCGAGATGATATTTCTAGACCATTGGAAAAGGGAGTGGCCCATACAAACAAAGAAGTTAACCACACCCCAATTCAAATTTTATTTAATTATTTTTATGGTAGCTATTCCGTTATTTTGGATTCAAGAACTCTACTCCCTACTATTTCCTAAAGATATAAGAATACCAAAACGATTGTTTTTCTGCATACACTTGCCCTCGTTCATCAAATCAAAGCATCAAAGTTCTGCAGGAGTTCCTACTACTAATGAATCAATAAGCCAATGCATTACGACTAAAGTTTAATTGTGATCTAAAAGAAGATAAGGATATGATCTATCTTAAAGAAAGTGTATGCTTCTATTGATTGATTGTATCATTGGCACATTGCTCCTTCAGTCTTCAAACTTTTAGAGATATTCCGCCACTCTTACTCTATGGAGATGAGCTCCTCCCACCCTAAAGAATTGAAGAAGTACATCATCCAAATATATGATTGATGATAACCTAGATAAATATGATGACGTGCGTCCACACACACACATACTTATATAGAGTTCTATTTATTAAATTTCTATAAATAAGTTTTTATTCATTGTAAAATAAAACATCAAGTTATGACTCTATGAGATTTCATTCTATCATGGATGCTGGAAATTTCAATCGATCCTGTATTTTTAGGATTCAACAAATTTCCTCGAGGATTCGACAATCTAACTTCTTTATTATAAATCAACTCGAGAAGTTGTTTAGTATCGATTCAATGTGTTTTCTTCCTTGCTTCTATTGTTTTTCACAATTCCATTGTTTAACATGCTTTAGGGTGTTGAATTTTGGGTTGTATGCACATACCTTTAAAGGAATAGATAAAATAAGCACTTTGGTGAGCTTGAGGAAACAAAATGAGACAAAGTAAAAACTGTAATAAAAGTTCCTAACAAAGAAAGCAAGGAATTGCTAAGCATTGAAATAAATTGTCAAATGATCATCTAGCAAGTTTTGAATGTTTTTCTTAAGACGGGAAATGGTCCAGAATCAACCTTTTGGAGTAGCATGACCCATATTGGAAGCCAAAATCTCAGAATTCTTAAATGGTTACCTCCTTATACCAAACAGCACAAATAACAAAAAAAGGATCTGCACATTCTTAAAAAGAATTCTACCTCATCACAGAAAGAGTACAAATATTCAGACTTGATAGAAAAAGACTGTTAAATAACATATTGTGCGTACATTAGCTTCTTCTGAATGAAGGTTGAATTGAGGCTGAATAACATTCACCATAAAGTGGCGTGCCCCATCCTCTTCAGAGTCGCCAATCCGTCCATGATTCACTATCAAGAAAATAACTGAAGGTTAATACTTCGACAAAGATGAAAACGTTGCAGAAAATTGTATTTAAGATTTATACCACAGAAATGTAAAGCGTTTTTAAACAATAAATAACATTAGAAGTATTTTTAGAAAGAAAATAGCACTAACTAGAGCTTTCATGCAACCTAACGGAAAAAATATTATTAAAATATGTAAAATATTACATTACATTTGTAAATATAGTTGACTATATATCAACTTACCAGCAGTATTGGATGTTGTGCAATCCATTTTAGCAGAAACAGAAACAGAAGGCAACGAACCAAATGCTTCGACATGGTGAGAGGATGGGGAATTTGAACCATGGATTGCCAAAGGCCTAAGATTGTCATCATTAGGAATTTCAAGGCCTTCATTTCTTTTCTGTTGCTCCAACAATTTCCTCTGTGCATACTGCCTCGAAGGAGATGGTTTCTGTGGTTCAAATGCTTTAGATATTCCACCAACCCATGACCAAACAGCATCTCTATTCTCAATAGTCCACAATAGCTTAAGACCATAAACAAATACCCGTCGACAATTATCCGCAATCACAACATTGAATCCATCATCATCACTAGGATCAGATCGTGTATGGTCACTTTCGCTCCCATTTTCAAACTCAGACCTCACGTAGGTCATCTCAAGATTCCTCCTACCAGCTTCTTGCCAAGCTAAAAGTCTGGCAGAATCAGCCTTTGGGGCCTGCCTACGAATAGTAAAATAATCGGAATATAGGAGAAAACCATCATCACCATTTTTTCCGCCGGAACCAGTTGGATGAGTGAAAGATTCATTAGCAAAATTATCAGTTGAAAGTGCCAACGAAGCTCCCTTTGTTGATTGAACATCTTGCTTATTGTTATTACATATAAAGGCCTTAAGAAGATGCAAGTCAAGGCCCTGATAAACGAGATCAAGAAGTTCACGTTTACAGTCAAAAGTATATGACTGCTTGCCACGGCTATAGCAAAGTTCATACTTTAGCCGAGTCATTTCAAATGTAAGACCACTAGCAGGATCATCCTCACTTAGGGGCGTATATCTGATGCATGATGGTGTAGCATCTAGGCGAAGAAAAAATTCTGTCATAACCTTGTCCAGTGATAAGTTACCAGATCTGGGTGCTCTTATCACACCAAAACGTGGCCAACGAGAAAAAGAACGGAGTTTATGAGGAGGACTATAATTCAGGCTCCACCACTTGAACAACCAAGCTAAGTCATGAGCACCTAGATTCATTGTTGGAGAATTAGCAGCAATGCTTTTAATCGTTTGCGAAGAATCATGCGACGATTCATCTAGTGATAGGCCGTTCGTGACAGAAGAAAATGGGGAGTGCTCATTGTAACATTGCAGAGAAGGTCTGAGAGAAAAATTCCACCTCAGTGAAAGAGAAGTGGAACGAAATGGATCAAAAACTTTCTTTCGAGGTTCCCCTTCCTTTGGAAATGCATGTAAGTAATGATTAAGCGAGAAACCTGATTCACAGTCCCAATCCATAGTAACCTCTAGAGAAAAAGCAGGAGAATGGAGAAAAGGAACGGAAATACTGGGAAGTTTCAAACTGCAATTCTTTACAAGACTCTCAAGACTACTCAAATAAATCTTGAAATCCTTTGCCAAAATAAATAGACGGCCATCTGTCTGCTGAATCTCCATGTAAGCTGAAACAATTTTAAGCTCGTCTAACTTCTCGTAAGGATTTGTTGTTGCCAACAGATTCCATCTTGTCTCCATGAAAAACAAGCAATTTTTTCCATGAATGTAATACCGCACATCATCCCACCAAGGTAAACTTCGTTCCCTCTTGGGAGGATTACTTACGGATATGTTTTGATCGTCAGTGGTGGATGTCCAACTCTTAGTACCAAGGTTTGCCCTGCGCAGAGCTACAGTAAATGCGTAACTAATATCAGCAAAACCAGGTTCATACCCCACTCCAAAGGAAATTTCAGCCTTGTTAAAATATATTGGCAAGTCTGAGTATATTTTCATAGGAGGTGTGGTCCCACTGGCTGAACGGAGCATCCGCACCTTCCACCATTTTCCAATGTAAACATCTTGTTCTACTTGAGGTTGGAAACTAGTTGCCTGAAATCAGGAAAAAAACAAGCGGAATAACTGACAATATACTATAGTTAAAAAACCTTGCTGCTGAATATCTGCAACATAAGAGTTGAAGGCATCAAGGAAGTTCAATACTATATGTATGAAATAATATAGCTTCAAACAGTGATATGAAGGTGCCCAACTAAAATAGATCATTACAACATTAAGGAAAAACAAAAACGAATGAAACATGTCTCACAAGCATCAAAACTCCTCAACTAGTGCCCATATTCATAGAAAATCATTTTATATACTCAAAGCTAACCACTTTTCCCCAGGGAAATTTTGGCAAGATTAATCAATGCTAGAATATGCTACTTAGGTTCATTGGTGTAAATATGTAATATCCAATTTGACCTAAAAGATAAGTTAAATTTTGTTTATAAAATTATAGCCCATTTTTCGTACACCCCGAAAATCACTAAAATTATTTTTATAAAATTATATACTACATTGTGATTACAAATCAATTCGTTTTTTGCTTAAATTGAATTCTTAACTCTTGATATTAAGGTTAAAAAGGATCAATTAATAGGAGAGAGTTGTTTATAAGTGCAACTCTAGAATGATCAATATTTATTAGTGGTTATTATAATTGATGGGCTGAATATGACTTTATGAAATGAAATATGTTAAAACATTTACAAATATGATATAACATTCTAAGATAAAGAATGTTGAGAATAAGATTGAAAATAAAAGTGAAATTATTGTGTATATGATATTCCATAGTGTAGTTAAATAAAAACTTGTCATTATTAACTTTATTTATAACTAATAACCTTTGAATGTGCTCTTCATAAGCACGTTCTATTTACTATTTAAAGATAAAAGCATGTTTATACATTATTACTATTTAAAGATTAAAGCGTGTTTATTCATTATTAGTATTGCTATGCATATCAGTCACTAACTAAAATACACATTATTTTTCTTGTGTGCTTAAATCTTTTTTTAACAATGTTTATATCATTGAGCTTGTAGCTCAGATTTTCATGATCCTTGTCGGTGCTTGGAGTTAATCAAGACGGGAACGGATGGTTAGACGATGGAAATCACTTCACTGATATTCTAATTATATAACTAATAATATACTTTAAAATTATACATGAAAGAACTACTAAATAAAGTAATTAAAATTAACAAATAGAAATTTGTATATTTTCATTTTTTGTTCTAGTCTTATATACACATTTGCTCTTCTATTCACTTGTTCAAATGTTTAAAACTTAAAAAAAAATATGGAAGCAACATCATGAGTTATCAAAAAATAACTCGAGATTAATCAAACTTCTAAACTATAGTAATCTAAGAAAAATAATTTAATATGTTTGTTGGTCTATAAGAAATCTTATAACATGTTGGTCTTTCATAATTTGTATAAGCAATCTGATATATATTAAAGCATGTATTAGTAACAATTTTTTAAATGGATATACTCCAATCTTCTATACGCATTTATCTTAACTTTAATTTTATTTTAGTAAGATGATTGAGTTACAATAGCAAATCACTGATACTTTGTTTAATGAGTGATTCAATATTATATGTTTAATTTTACGAACGAGCATTATGTAATGTAACCGAGGCTTACAAATTATCATAAAATACATGATTATTTATTTAATATTTTATGATGTGACAGTTTCAAATTATAAACTTTGAGTCTACTTTGGTGTCTTTAAGATTTCATGCAACACAATTAAATATGAGGATTATAAATATCTATAAAATGTATGAATTCTATATAATATGATTAGAAGGGTATTTCAGAGAGTTATCCACAAACGACTATAGCACAGTGCTTTCAAAGCATATTTATTCAAACAAGAGAATTGCTTCTATAACAACATAACAGGATTTCAAGTTTTGAATTGAGATCTCACACAATCACAAAAACCCCAAATGCACCCTAAAACTTAAACCCTATAAGCAGAAGACATTGGCAAAACGTAGGAATGAGAAGCCACTCCCCATGCTTTTCTTGCCCTTACGAGATCACTGAGCGGATAGTGCGGAGGCTTATCGTTTAAACTTGACACCTTTATTGACACTTCATCCAGTATTTCACATATCGCAGCTAAGACGTGTTATTGGTGATAATGTGTTATCTTCTTCACTTCCCCTACTTTGATTGAGGAAAGAAGGTTCTCTCTTGGCGTCACTGGAGTTAAAAAATAGAATTATCGATAGGTGGGAAAGAAGTGTTGATTAAATGGAAGGAGTTGTCATATTATGATGTCATGTGGGAGCCATATGACTTAATCCAACAATAGTTTTCTCTCTTCCACTTTAGGGGTAAGATGCCTTATTGTGAAGGGAGTTAAATTAGACTGGCAGTTACGATGCCTTCCGCCTCATTCATCACTAAATCGAGTGGTCCCACTGAACCATCTTCGAGCCCGCAAATAATTTGAAGACCTATTCTAGGCAGGAGACAAAAAGGACAATTTAGTCATTTGTTAGTTATTAAAATTTAGTATAAATAGGGCTAAATATGATTAAGGTTAGGCTATGTGATTGTTGTCTTTAATCATAGAAGTTAGGATTTGGAAGAAATTTGCCCACATCAAATTGTAGTTCTATTTTTTATGTATTTGGAATTTTGTTGTTTTGTGTCGACAATTAAATACTTTATTTTGCATCAATTTCTATAGAAACTTGTCTCGTTTCTATCATTTTCTCTATTATGTTATTTTTTTCTTTTCTAGCATTCATTACTAAATGAACTTGATATCTCGCATCATCATTTTATTAAAAAAATCAATTTATACGCAAGCGTAATATACATGAACTAATATATGCACGCTCACGGTGAACGAATCCACATTGCATTTTAGTAGATAAAATGTATTTCTCGTTGCAGCTGGGCAGCATGCATGTGCATCAATTTAGTAAGCCATAGAACTCACAAAGGAAATTACGGATTACATTATTCACTATTCACTATTCACTATTTCCTAGAAACAAGATATGATCATTAAAGGCCTTTACTCTTGTTAAGTTCTCAATTTTAAAAAAAAAATAACAAAGTAGTCTAAAAGAAAAAATTAAACTTAAAAAAAATTAATAGAAAGGAAATGGAAAAAAATCTCTTCAGGTTCCAAGAAAATTGAATAAAACAACTAACTGTGAAAATAGCACTGGTCAAGGAGGTCAGATAACAAAATTATGTGAGACTAACCTGCTGAGCGAGTACAATGCGACCTTTACACTTTCCAGCAGTTGCGGAAAATAGAGGAAATGTGTAATTCCTCAGTTGGACAACTAATGATCCTGAAGTTATATCAACATCTCTTCCATATGTCCGAGAAAAAGGTACATCATTCTCTAAGCTGACTGGATCCATCTTTTTTATGAATTCCACCATTGCAGCATCCCCTCCAACAACTTTTGTTAAAGTAACATCTAGTTCAGTAGCACAGATAGATAGTAGTGAAGCTCTGTTTTTGCTTGTCTTAAAACCAGATTGAAAACCATTCGTGCAAGCTCCTGATCCCTCCGAGGGTACCAACTTCTTACATGCTCTATAATATGAACGGAATGCCTGCTTCTGAATGTCTTCGTGCAAGTCTTTAATGGCTACATCATTAGACGTGTCAATCTCAACTCCATTATGGAACAGCTTCCTTTCAGAAGACAATTCTTTGGGTTCAGAAACTCTAGAATTGCTTCCCATGTCTAGAAAGTCATCAAGAAACTTAGCTCTAATAGCTGCCTCACAAATCTCCGTCTTCATCAACTGATAGTGCTCATCAAGCCATCCTTGTATAGGTTCTTCCTCAATATCCGCAGTTAGTTTGCGAATGATGAATCTAATAGTACCAAAATTTGCAGGCTTGGACTTGGGCTTCCTGGAATTGTCTTTTTTCACATTTAACATGAGGCTAGCCTTAGCATCAGTGATAAGTTTCAAGCCACGCAACATATCCTCCACCGCATCCTCAATAGCACGTAACTGCAGCCTGTAAGGCATGCAAATATGAAGATCAGGACCTTGAATCACCCAATCCCATGTACTATTATCCCATGAAGGGGTCAATAGTCCTTTAGCATCCACTGAATTACCTGTAGCAGAAACTGGAATTCGAGAAATCTGCATTCTGCTGCTTTTGAAAACATTAGCATTATTTAAGCATAGAATAAGTTCTTCGAGTAGCACACCAATCCTTGCATTCTCTGAGAAAATAGACTGCACATGAATAGATGCTTCAACACCATCAGCAACCGCAGCAGTTAACTTCAGTTTTTCCACATCAATGGCAAAGACCGCCTCCCTTTTACCAGGCTTCTTATAGGATTTTGCCTGTGCCGTGACAATTTCTTTTTCAGTTTCTCTGTCTTTAAGGCTATGAAGTTCTTCAATGATTCCATCATGAGAACCATGATTCTTTATTTTATGTAAAAAGCATTTCAAAGCAGTCACAAATTCGAATATGGCCAAATGTACATCAGGTTCCCACCTAATTGAAATATCAGTGACATTGAGAAGTGAGCAAACAGCAACCTCACTTAAGCCACCGGAGCGACGAACAAATTTTGCATGTTGCACATCAAACAAAGTAATTTTTGAACCATTTGTCTGATCATGAGAACTTTCCTGATATATTGAACGAGCTCGCTCGAGATCAATCTGCAGAGAGCGCTTTTCCTTGTTTAAGCAAACATTAACTTGAGAGATGCTTAGAGATGTGTAGAATTTTAATTTTTTGCAGCCACTGGTAGTATTTGAAAAAATTCTTGCCCTACGAGTAGTACCATCCGCAGAGACGCTGATCATAACAACACCACCTTGTGAACCAAAATTCACACGCTTGGGATCCGCAATGACCATATCTTCCTTACTCACTTCACCGCAATATTTAATATGACATTTTTCAAGGTTTACTTTTACAATTCGAGTCCCCTTTGCATTAGTTTTTCTTGAATGCCCGACCTTATCACGTAAATCCCGTTTACGAGAAAAAGTTAAACTTTTAAAGAATGGCTGGAAGGAGAAGAAGGTCAGCAATATAGATTCAATATGACTGAAGTTAAAATATAACCCCATGCCGGTTATATCAATAGCAAAAACTAATTTCAACCGGTTAGAATCTTGTTCTTCATGTGTCTCCATCTCCCGAAGTCCCCAATCTAAACCAGCCCGTGCCATATGGAGTAATGATCCAAAATTAGCTTCCGCATCAAATAAATCTAGCTTTACACATTTTTGATACTCATCTGCCATATAGAAATGTACTTCACCAAGTTCTGCATGAACTTGAACTCCCTTGGTTGCAATATTGTTTGCATACAAATGAGATGATTGTGAACACCCCTGCATTAAAGAAACAAACTATAAGGGCAAATAACATCAGCTTCATTAACTCTCATTCAAGATGAAATTCACTCGATAATTAGATAGTTTCGAGTAAATTCCCAACAGACATATATTTGTATTAATGACTAAGATGAGTTGCAGCCATAGGTTCAATAAAGCTATAAACCAACCAAATTACCTGATGAGAAATGTAAACATAAACAATATGCAATCAATTTTTCCTCCATTAAATTATATCACAAGTAGTTAAGTAGCCATGATTTAGGTTTGGGTTAGGTGTTCGGTGTTGTTAAGCCTCAATATATGCAATGACAAATTCGGCTTCAGAATGAGCCGCAATTCAAACATCTTCTCCTATTCCACAACTTTGAAAAGTGTACGTAGGATAGCATGTTGATGTCAGTATGGCAGCACTCCACTTCCTGAGGATGAGAAGAGGACAAAAAATTTTCACGAAAAATTCAAACATATAGGTGTGTATTGTGTGTGTGCATTTCAAATACTGCTGCCCTTCATCATCATGTTACCTCCCCCAACCCCCTTCCCCCGCCCACAACCAACCCAAAAAAAATTAATAGTATAATAAAATAATAAAAATTATAACCTCATCCCTTTTCCCTTCTCTTTCCAATGATCAATAT